TGTAAATTTTTATTTTTCAGAAGGAATAAATACAGTTGAACAGGAGATTAACTAGGATTCAGAAATTTTGCCTGTTCCTCCTAAGTCTGCTACCAAAGTGACCGGTGGCCTTGAACACAGCACACAATGTTTCTAAGGTTTCTGGGCTCCACTTGTATAGGGAGTCCAGTCATCCACCTTAGAGCTGCCTTCTGGTGCTAACTTTCTGTGATGAGAATTTCCAAGTAACTTCCACTTGTGAATATTTACTCACTTGAGTTCATGCCTCCTTAGGGTGCAGTTCTATTTCCTTATTTAATAAAATGAAGAGAAAACTAAGAAAAAAATCTTTTGTGTATTAGAGATTCCTTCCTTCATATTTCCATACGTATAAGGAAAGACAGGTCAAAAGATTGTGTGTTTAAATAAAACAAATTACAGTAAAAATCATATTGTCACTAGTCCCCCTCACAACTCTCCCCCTGTCTGTGAACACACCAACTTCAACATTCTTGTCACTTTTTGAAACAGTTCTCAAAGTCCTCTTTCATGAGTATCTGTAGGAAGTACGATCAGACATGCTCAGTTAATGCCAGTGCTGAGTGGCATCCAACTGAAAGGCAGGCTCATAAAAACATTAAAGTGAATCTTCATTCACGTTATTCATTTTGTTTGAGACTAGGATACTTTTATCTCTGCCCCAAAGTCAAAATAAAAATGAAAAAAACTTTTTGAATCAGTACAGGACATCAAAGCAGTCATCACAGCACAACTAAAGCCAGGAAATAACACTTCAGAACTGCTTCAGAAACTGGCCAAAAAGATGAGAGCAGTGAGTTGAAAGTGATGGGAGATTAGTGGAGTATGTCTTTTACTATAATCAAAATTGTTGGTGTGTGTGTGTGTGTGTGTGTGTGTGTGTGTGTGTGTGTGGTTGTACGTGTATCTTTTCGAGACAAGGTTTCACTATGTAGCTCAGGCTGACTTTGAACTCACAGCAGTCCTCCTGCCTCAGCCTACCAAGTGCTGGTATTACAGGCATGCACCACCATGCCTGGCTATAATCAATATCTTAAAAATTAGACAGTAATCACATTGTTATCACACTATATATTTCCAAATATTCATTAAAATTTCTATTTTCTAGCAATATGATTGATGCATTAGTAAATATATTTTATGAAACAGCTACCATCTGCATAATAGTAAATTAAGTGCCATAAATTTATACTTTGCCATGTAACTGTTCTCCATTCAGATGAGAAGACAGGTACACTCAGAATTTTTACAAACCAAAAGCAAGTCTACACACTAGCCCTTATGAGCAAAGGTAGGACCAGCCCTGCTCCTAAGATTGAAAATGTCTCATTTAGTATGAAAAATAGTAATGAAAGCTTTTCAGAGGCTTCAAACTCCTAAAGAATAAGGCTCAGCAAGCAACATAACTAAGTACTCTCTGTTTTAGATTGAAATTTCATTGAGTTTGGCTTGAAAGGAACATTTAATTCTTTTCAATGTTTTCTTTTAAACAGATATTATGGCTATGATTATGATCATGTTACAGATAACCTTCTATTCTGTTCACATTTTAAAAATTCTAAAATATATTCCTGCCACAGTGAATGCAATCTACAACATTTAAAATAAGTACAAAACCCGTTTTTTTAAAAAAAAATTAAGAACTGTTATTTATGAACATCAGGCCATGATAGCTCTGATTTTTTATGCAAGAATATGGTTGGGGTATGGAAAGTAGCTGGCTAAGATTCTGTACTCTACTATAAATGCTCAGAATTTGTTTTAAAATTTTACACCTTTAAAGTCTCTAGGATTTTCTAACTTAATCAGTGTGTATTAAAGAACAGCAGTACACCTTAGTGGGAGGAAGAGATCGAGACATATGGTGTTGCTTTCTTAAGCCTAGCACCAAAAGACTTGCAAGGCAGTATATGTCGTGTGAAAACGCCACAGTGTAGAAGTATTTGAGTCTGAGCACCTGCTTTCCAATTCTGGCTCTGGTAACAAGTTAATCTTTCTAAGCCTCCAAGTCCACCTTAGTGAAAGTACACAGCTGAAGTTCAGAGCTTTGAATGGGCTGCAAAGATTAAATGTTGTTACTTAGTTACTTCTTGTGAGCCTAGCTCTGAGTAGATGCTCAGTAAATGTTCATTTTCTTTTGTCTGAATTTTAGCTTCCTCTTCTGTAAAGTAGTATTTTTTTAAGCTTTCAGAAAGAAAAGATGCCCTGAAAATTCCAACATTACACAAAGATGGGCTAGACTCAGCCCAGCATCGTGGCACACACATTGGTCCAAGAATTCTTGGAGGCTGAAGCAGGACGATTGCAAGCTTGGATCCAGCTGGAGTAACTGAGTGACCTACCTAGCAGGAAATTGCTGCAAAATTTAAAACAAAGCAAAATGAAATAAAATAAAATCAAAAAGCTTGAGGATGTAGCTCAGAATGGAGTCCCTCCTTTCAATACCCAGTATTGGGGGGGACACATTGACCCCAAACAGGCCTAGGTGATGATATACTGAGAGTGGCAACCAGGGTCAACAGGACAGCCCACCGGTTTCCTTTCATATAGACACAAGAGTAAACAAACAAACAACAAACTACTGACTTGAAAAGTTATGAGGCAAGTGTAAAATCAAGGACAGCTGGCTGAAGGTACAGGGCTCTTCAGACACTTTCTGTAAAGGGCTAGATAGTAAGTATCTTTGGCTTCACACCCCACACAGTTCTGATCACAACCTGCCTGCTCAACTCCAGTGTTGAAGCAACAACAGGCACTCATGGTGTGGGAAGGAGGAGCCATGACTGTGCTCCGCAAAGGCTTTCTTTACAAACACTGGCGGGACAGTGGACTGTATCTGGTCCCAGGTATCTTAGCTGTGTCCCACTGCATGCGATGATCAGGGTCACCAAGATGGACATGCCATGCACATCTCCTCCCTTCACTGCAGGATTAGATCTGCAGTTGAATGGTTCCTGGGCTGGAGCGAATGGCCCTCCTCTCTGATGATGTAGGAGTTCCCTGGCTCCCAGTTCTGTGCTTGTTTCCTGGGCTGGTTGTCTTTCCTCCTGACGGGCACATTCTCCCGTACACATGAAGAACTTCTGTTCTGCTCCTGTTTAGGTCTTACGCTGAAGGCCACTCTGCTTGTTCAAGGTGTAGCTTTATATAGCTATACCTTCTTATTACTCACTGTATAGAATTTGTATAGCTATGCTTGGATTCTTTGCTTTGCAGTTTAATTCTCAGAAAATGCTCTTACCTTGTATCTTCCTATTCCAGTATTGGGGCTTCTAAACTTCATCCGGTACAAATAATACCCATGAAAATACAGCCACCGTTTCTAAGAATTATGTGATAATAGAGATTTTTGAAACTCCTCCTTGAGAGAGAAGATTTTGAAAATAAAAATGAGATTAGTTATCACTCCCATTGAACAGATATTGAGTGAGTCGCACTTAAAGTGAAACATAATAATGTGTCTACCTGTTCAGTTCTATCACAGTCTGTTCTCTATTCAGAGATGGAGGATTTTTTAAAGTACTACAGTCTACTGGGGAAGAATCATGCTGTAAGAAAATAAAATGAGAACAAGTGGAAGTAATGAAATGCAGTGAAGCCACCAACCTAGACCAAATGTCCCTGCAGTGGGACTGCTGGAGAGCAGGCCACCCCAGTTGCCCCTTACCACACTGTCATACGTCCCATATAATGTCTTCTGATTTTGTCCCTGCCTTCCCACCCTTACTTTTTTTGATCTCTTATTCACCCTACAGTGTGTGATTACTTGGAAATATTACTCATCCTTGAGGATTTTATATATAGATAACAAAAAGGGGGCTAAAAATGCAGAAAGAAGATGAATATACATTTAGCCTTTGCAATGGACTTTCAAATTTTCATGTATTTTATTAATTCCAACCATGTAACCAAATTTGTGAAGTCATTCCAGATTGATAGACAATAAAGCTAGTTTCTAAAAAAAATTAATTGATTTTTCTCACAATAATTGTGTCTGAGACCAGATGCAAAAAACACACACTTGCCTCTGAGTCCCTGCTCATCTTTACCCCAGGCTGGTTCTCAGCTGCCCTAAAATCAGACTTCCTAAAATTTCGCTTCAAGAACAAGCCAACTTGTTCCACTCCTCCTCATTTAATTGAATGTTTAATCCTCTCGTGATCTTTGGATTTCCCAGTGGTCATTTTTGCTAATCAGTCTCCCTCTAATACCTAATAAATCTTTAAAAGAAGGAGAAAACAAAGGGAATCATTCCAAGAGTATTTGTATGTTAAGCCCTCAATTATGGTATGAATCGATGTCTTCTGATGAACTCTCAGAGTTCAGTTGGCAGATGGGAAAATAAATTTTAGAACGGAAATCCTCTTCAGAACTGAAGTTATACCTTCAGTATAATTTTGCTTTAGCAAAGTAGCCCTGCTATTACATTTATAAAACTTAATACTTTTGAGAACTTCTCCCAGGAAAAGTTAAAATGAATCATTGATTCATTAAGGTCAACTCACTCACACAATCTATTATCTATATATACTCTTTTTCGTTCTATTTTAGTCCATCTTCATACTTCTCAGGCGTTGGAATGACATACAGACGTACAAGCTGCAGAACTTTTGGTAAACTGGATATGCTCCCCGGGCTTTACTTTTCTGATCCATAAAAATGAAGAAATTAGGTTAAACAGACTATATGAGTTTCCCACCTCCCCTTCAATGTTCTGGGTTGGCTTTATCCTAAGATGCATATTTGGCTCTAAATTTAAATACAGATATGAGATACAGTATTAATGAATCCCTGATATTAACAGGTTTAATACAGGGACATTCCATTGTATAGATGATGGTTTATTTTTATCCCAGTACACAACTTTACAGATTGTCTGTGGGAGCATAAGTCTTTGTGCATTAGTGTTCAAACCAATTTAACTTTCATCTTTAAGGAGAGTTGGAAGCATCACAGTTCTTCAAAGCATAAGAAAATTCTAAATGACCAAAGTTGTTGATTTTGTCTGTGTTTGTGTTTCTTTGTTCTTGTGAAAAATGGAAGGCTTCAACCAAGAGGCAGATTGGGATCTTATCCAGAGAGATGAATATCTGTTTAAGCAAAAGTACAAATGGGGGCTAACAAGAGAGGGAAAGGAAACAGAATTAAACATAACTTTCATTCAATATAAGTGACTGCCCCTGTGCTAGAGATATACAGAGACAAAATACATTTGTATTTCTGCCTAGTATCTTTGTCTAAGCACTTCTCCTTCCCAACTAAGGAGCTTCCTTGTACTTCGTCTCAGTTTCCTCTATTAACATCTGAGTTTAGAATGTTTCATTAAATTACATTGTAGTTAGGGCCAAGGATTTAGCTCAATGGTATGAGTGCCTGCCTGGCAAACGCAATGTCATCAGTTCGATCCCTGGTACAAAAAAAGTATTACTTTGCAATTAATGAACCATAATAGATTTGTTACTATTAACCAAAATGTATATTCCATTCAGATTTTCTCATTTTTTCCTTAAAATCTCATCTCAGTTTCCAAATCATGCTTAGTAATCAGATATTCTTAGATGCCTCTTAGCTATTCAGACTCTCATTCTTTTAAGAAGTACTTTCCTCTTATCTCAGGATCTTTACTTGCTTATTCTATTTGTGTAAACTGTCTTAAATTTTAACTCTATTTAGCAAAACATTAATTATTTACTCCATTGTTTAGAAAATTCCCTGTAAATCCCTATTTTCCATATAAACTACCAAGATTTTTTTTTTTTTTCTAGTATGGGAACTTGCAAATAATGAGGACAATCCTATCCAGGGGCCAGTGAAAATTTATGATTTGCTAACCAGGACTTTCTTTATACATGGGAAAGGGAATACTCTTTATTAGTGAGTCAGTTGAAACTCTTAAATCTTTTTCAGTTGAAGAATAAACTTTCAAAATAAGTAGGGACATTAGTTGAATGTTTATAGTTACACAAAGAGTTAGGAACTTTGCATTTAGACAGCCGTCATTACAGCTTAAATATCTTACCTCTGCCAGAAGAGGGAGAATAATTAATACCCTTTCAATGCTTCCTGTTCAATAGATTTAAACTTAGTATGATTGTGTGTTTGTATCCAAGACACACAGGAGGATCAAAAACTCCAGAGCTGTCTTCGACTAATTAAAAAATGAAGTCTCTGGCAGATACTAAATGAAAGATCCTGGGTAAGTGCTGCTCTAGTCTACTGCAGAGCCCACGAGAGTCAAATCATCATCAGTTCCTGAGGCCCAATCTTTATCTCCATGGTCACAGAGAACAGCTGAGAATTAGGATGCTCTGCTTACCAAGTTTTGGAAAACTATACATTCAGAAATAATCTTTTGCCATCCAGAAATCTTCTTCCTAAGATAGAGAGAAATATTGTTAAATTATTGTTAGAGTTGGGCCAGAATGTGACATGTATCATAAGCCATCTGCTAATGAATTGCATCCTCAGAAAGACATGTGACCTGTTTCTATACCAAGCAGATACATCCCCAACACATGTGTGTTTCAACATAAATAATAAGGGCTGGGGATTTAGCTCAGCGGCATAAGCACCTGCCTTGCAAGCAGGCAGTCGTGAGTTCAATCCCTGGTACCGCTAAAAACGAAAAAGACAAAAAAACAAAACAAAAAACTCAACATAAATAATAACTAATCCTCCAGTGAGAGGGCTCAGAAGTATTTCCACATAGTTCATCCCAACCAGACCTGGTAATGGAAGTGGCCACCCCTTTATCAGTAAGGAAGGGAATGAGTGACAAGCTATGATACCAAGGGATTTTACACTGAAGAGCAAGTGAATCTCACTGAACAAAGACCAATACACCCTTGCACAAGCCATTGGTGTCTTTTCTCATTCATGCAAAAGTGTTCAGTAAACTCTATGTTAGACATTATGGAAGAAAATATTTGGTAAAATGCAAAAACAAAATCTTATTTTACACTTCAAGAACTCCCCATCTCTCAATCCAGACACCTATGGGCTGCAGTAATACCTCAGTTCTCTTACAGGCAAGTCCTCAGAAGCCCCACTTGCCGAGAGATGAAAAATCTGAATAACTCTGACCAGGACATCACACTGCACCAGACACTGAAATTTTCTTATGTGTTTTTTAAACACATTGAATGTCCAAGTCATTTTCTGCTAATAATGATAAGCATTTGTAATTGCATGGATTTCTTGTCCAATGCCCTGCATTCCTGACTTTCACAATGACCTTCTAAGGTAGGTATTATTTCTATCCCATTTTAGAGATGAACTTTAGCATTTTGGATAAGTCACCCCAGGACACAGAACCAGTAAATGGAAGAGCTGTGATATATAGACACAGATTTCGGATCCCAGCATCTGCATAACTGTAGTGTAAGTTCAGGACAGGAGTGGAAGGCCTGCCTCACCACTGCCTCAGCTCTCTCGCTTAAGAATCATACATGATCTCAGAAAAAAAAGACTACTTCAAATAAGAATAATTCTCCACATTTGCAATACACTTCACAGTTGTCATGTCATTTTTTGTGCCTGTGTTTGGTGTTAGGATTCTTACAGCAACCTTGAAAGATAGGCAGGTATTTTAAACTCAAGTTAGGTATTAGAAAAACTGAGATTCACTAAAGTTTAAACAACTTGACCATGATCAAGCAGCCAGTGAGTGCAAGGACTGGGACTGTTCCAGGGCTCCCAATAACTAGTTCTCTACAGCTTCAAAGTGGAGAATCCCAAGCTGGATACTTACCCTGTATACAGGTTTCTAACAGAGCTATACAAGTTCCAGGATTTGTCTAGTAGAGTGTGTCCTACTCTGTCTCAAGAGTCAAGGTGGAACAAGTGTTAGTTCTGCCAATTCTGGCTCACCAGGTAATGCCCACTTAAGCATGCTTTTGTTCTCCATGTGACTTGTAAATAAAATGCTTCTTACTTGATAGTCGCTATGGTTAGAGAGAAATGTTTAAGCTTGTTCAAGCTTGTTTCTGCTTGCTTGCTAGAAAATAGTATATGCTGCTTATCCCAAATTGGACCCTATTCTGCAGTTTTTATTCAGGTAAAACTAATGGAGTTTCCCCCCAGAGTAAGGAATATGCAATCAACCCCATTGTTTGATCTCAATGGGTTATTACAGGTGGGAGAATTGTTACAGCAGAGGCAATTTAGGAAATCAGGTACAATTGACTTCCATCAATTTGCATATTGCAGTCCCCAAAGCAAAAAGTCGTGGTGTTTTATGTCAGAGATAGTGAAGCCATTAAATGAGACCACCTGGGCAGCAAGCCCAAGAGGGAAGTGGGAGGGGGTTAAGCAAGGGTACATTCACAAAGTCTTACCCAATCAAAGCAAGGAAAAATAATTTTGCTAAATATTTTACAATCTCTGGTATTCCCAAAACAGATTTATAACCAACTCATCAAATAATAATAAGTCACTTTATAGATTCTTGGGTGGCCAGTCTTATAAGAGATATTTGAATTTGTTCGGTTGATGTGTTCTTGTGGCAAATCTGGAAAGGTACTTATTTCTTTCAAAGAGATACGAGATTGATTGGAAAGCTCTCAAAGCTGAGTAGCAGAAATCATGGTTCTGATACAAACACAAGATTAACATTCCTTATGTCCTGGGCAAGTCGGTTAATTCTTAAGACTTCTCTCCTCAGCTGTATGAGGAGTTTAGATCACATCTTTTCTAAAAGATTTCTCCAGAAATAAAATTTGACATTTCTAACACTGTCACACATTGGGAAATGAATGCATTATATGAAAAGACTGATTTGATTATTGCCTACTGCCTGTCATATCTATGAAGAATATGCCCAATGAGCCACATGAGAAAGGAAGGTCAAGGGAGAACAGAGGGAAAGATCATAGCTGCTCAGCCCAGCATACAAATGCACCACCATTAGGAGAGGATGGGTAAGTGCGTGAATGCTATAGGTAATGGGTGATGGATTATACCATCTTTGCAGTAAAAGATAATGCAGTCCTTATGCCAGTAATAAGTAAATCTGCAGGTCAATGAAGTCCCGTAAAAAGGTTTCTACAGTGCAGAAAAGTTTCCATAGAAAGATAGGTAGGCTTGTCAGGAAAACACCAAAAACTATCAGCTAGGTTTATAGACATCTAACTATCTTCAAAGCAATTTTGAAAAATAAGTTACCTAACTTTCACTTGCAGGAACCTGAGCTTGGAAAGATTAAATTAACAGCAAAGTAAGGACAAAATAAAAAAAAAAAAAAAAACAGAAACACCCTACAACATTTTTATAGGGCAAAACTGGGAATATAAACCCTGTCCTAACCTCCCAAAACCTCCCCAGCCTAGTACATCATGTTGGCAAAAAATTTCAGAGTTTTTTTTTTTTTTTTTTTTTTTTTTTGCTACATCCATTTTTCTTCTGGTACCCATTTCTCACCCCGTCTATGCGCACCTCTTCAGAGCATTACCTTGCTGCACAACCATCCGTTTCATCCATTTCAAGCTGTTAAAATGAAGTCCCTCTGTTTTTGTATAACATTTTTCATGTTGGAAATGTAGTATCTCTTAGAGTTGGGGCGGGGTGAAGGGGGTGCCCTGCCAGGAGCAGAATCAGCATGGAGATGTCACACCACACTCTGAAAAGCAACTGTAGTTCTGAGGGGCAGCGGCTGTTGCAATCCATGTTTCAGAAGGTGGTGTTGGGTGGAAAGGGAGGCAATCATTTTTAGGGGCTTTGCTGACTTTGGCAGCTGCAAACTCTCATTTCTCCTCTCCTACAACGCCTAGGCAAAAAGAAGGTAAAGATTCTGTAGTCCTTAAAATAAAACTTGGCTTGTGGCTACATTGTTAGATTTTGTTGTTGTTGTTGTTGTTGTTAAGGAGGAAAAAAAGCTTTTTGTAAAAAAAAAAAAAAAAAAAAAAATATTGCAGGAGTTCAAATAAAAACCAACCAGACATGGAAAAAAAAAAAAAAAAAAAAAAAAGAGTTGCTTTTCCCTTAATAATTATGAAGGAATCCAAATCCCTAAATAAGAAGAATGCATCATTTTCAACCTCCAGTTCTACCACCCTTTCGGCCTGGCTGTGCTCACGCAGAGCTTCTCCACCCCTCCTGTGAGACATGGCTCACTCTTTTCCTTAACTCCGGAAATGTTTTTATGCAAATGCCTCTTTCTCTAGGCATCTTTTAAAAATTGTACTTTAGTTATTTGTGTTCACATTTTATTTTCATAATTCAGCCTATAAACTCCTCCAAAAATCATTCACACTTTTGTTATCATGCACATTAATTGAACAAGTGTGAAGTGTCAGCCGACGAGGTGCAAATATGGATTCAGGAGAATAAGCAGATCCTTCCTCAAGGATCTTACATTTAAGTATGGGACATGGGCAGGCAAATGTATACATAAACTCCAACTTACTGTATGCAGAATATATAAGGGATTCATTTTTATAACCTGTTAAGTATCTTAGTACCTTTGAATGAATACACATGGACTCCACTCTTAAACAACAGTAAAGGCTGTAAAGAGAAACCAGAGGTAAAACATGATGGAGAAATGAAACCCCAGTGGTGACGTATGGTTCTTGAGAGCGCCATGACTCTCAGCAGTCCAGATCAATTATGTGTGCTAGCTTTAGCCCTGAATCTTTCCCTGGCTCTGTTTCCTCTATGTATCATATATTTCCAGCATTCAGTGCAATCCTAGAGAGGCAGCCAGACGAGGATGAAAAACAAAGCTCTCAGCCTACAAGACTTGGTATGCACCAGAAGGACAGTGTTATTAGGCTGTCAGTGATAAGTGCTGAGTGAGGATGCAGATATTAAATGCAACAGGAAACAATAAATCAGATACTCTTCAGGAGGAAGTTTATGGGATAGGTGTGCTTAACTAGGGAAAGGGAAAAAGCCCAACATCTGGAGCAGAGCCTAAGCGTAGATTCATGTGACCCAAAGGCAGTCAGATAGATCATGGAACATCTGGTGTTTCTTAGATTTCATGGTTGAGGGGATGCATTTCTGCTAGGTAGTATTTCCATGCTAAGTAATAAAATGCCATTTATATTCTTTTATACCTTTCTTAGACGTTTTTTGTGTATGACTGGTTCTTTCTAATTTTTTCCCTTCGTTAGCCTCCTTGATTCCATACTGTACTTTTTCTCTTCCCACTTCAACAATTATCAATTCATCTTTTTAAGAGAGTCTCTTTCAAGCATTAAATGGCAGTATTCCCCAGGTTTCAGAAAATCATCACCTAAAATTATATCGTTACCCTCGAATTCCGCTTATAGTCCTCCCAAATCTCTGTTGTCCGTTTCACATTTTCAACCTTTGAGTATTACTTCCACTTTACCAAAGCTTTAAAGCATGTTTACTTGTGAATAGCACCACT